TCCTCAACTGCGTCCTCCTCCACATAGACCCACCAGACCCAACTGTGTTCTGACTCCCAATCCAATGGACTTATTCTATGTCAACTGCACCCCCATTTCTTCTCCTCATGGACCCACCAGACCCAAGCTCCAGTCTTCATCCCCAACTCCTATGCCCCCGATCCATTGGACTTGTGGCTCATTCTATATGACCTGAACCCCGTGTCTTCTCCTCCACCTGGACAAGCCAAAGTCCATCACCTTCCAGCTACCGGAACCCGTCTCCAGCCCCTGAACATGAAAGCTCCATCTTCGGCAATGAACGGTCCCCCCTCGGCAATGAACGGTCCCCGCTCGGCAATGAACGGTCCCCCCCCCGGCAATGAACGGTCCCCCCCGGCAATGAACGGTCCCCCCCGGCAATGAACGGTCCCCCCCGGCAATGAACGGTCCCCCCCGGCAATGAACGGTCCCCCCCGGCAATGAACGGTCCCCCCCGGCAATGAACGGTCCCCCCCGGCAATGAACGGTCCCCCCCGGCAATGAACGGTCCCCCCCGGCAATGAACGGTCCCCCCCGGCAATGAACGGTCCCCCCCGGCAATGAACGGTCCCCCCCGGCAATGAACGGTCCCCCCCGGCAATGAACGGTCCCCCCCGGCAATGAACGGTCCCCCCCGGCAATGAACGGTCCCCCCCGGCAATGAACGGTCCCCCCCGGCAATGAACGGTCCCCCCCGGCAATGAACGGTCCCCCCCGGCAATGAACGGTCCCCCCCGGCAATGAACGGTCCCCCCCGGCAATGAACGGTCCCCCCCGGCAATGAACGGTCCCCCCCGGCAATGAACGGTCCCCCCCGGCAATGAACGGTCCCCCCCGGCAATGAACGGTCCCCCCCGGCAATGAACGGTCCCCCCCGGCAATGAACGGTCCCCCCCGGCAATGAACGGTCCCCCCCGGCAATGAACGGTCCCCCCCGGCAATGAACGGTCCCCCCCGGCAATGAACGGTCCCCCCCGGCAATGAACGGTCCCCCCCGGCAATGAACGGTCCCCCCCGGCAATGAACGGTCCCCCCCGGCAATGAACGGTCCCCCCCGGCAATGAACGGTCCCCCCCGGCAATGAACGGTCCCCCCCGGCAATGAACGGTCCCCCCCGGCAATGAACGGTCCCCCCCGGCAATGAACGGTCCCCCCCGGCAATGAACGGTCCCCCCCGGCAATGAACGGTCCCCCCCGGCAATGAACGGTCCCCCCCGGCAATGAACGGTCCCCCCCGGCAATGAACGGTCCCCCCCGGCAATGAACGGTCCCCCCCGGCAATGAACGGTCCCCCCCGGCAATGAACGGTCCCCCCCGGCAATGAACGGTCCCCCCCGGCAATGAACGGTCCCCCCCGGCAATGAACGGTCCCCCCCGGCAATGAACGGTCCCCCCCGGCAATGAACGGTCCCCCCCGGCAATGAACGGTCCCCCCCGGCAATGAACGGTCCCCCCCGGCAATGAACGGTCCCCCCCGGCAATGAACGGTCCCCCCCGGCAATGAACGGTCCCCCCCGGCAATGAACGGTCCCCCCCGGCAATGAACGGTCCCCCCCGGCAATGAACGGTCCCCCCCGGCAATGAACGGTCCCCCCCGGCAATGAACGGTCCCCCCCGGCAATGAACGGTCCCCCCCGGCAATGAACGGTCCCCCCCGGCAATGAACGGTCCCCCCCGGCAATGAACGGTCCCCCCCGGCAATGAACGGTCCCCCCCGGCAATGAACGGTCCCCCCCGGCAATGAACGGTCCCCCCCGGCAATGAACGGTCCCCCCCGGCAATGAACGGTCCCCCCCGGCAATGAACGGTCCCCCCCGGCAATGAACGGTCCCCCCCGGCAATGAACGGTCCCCCCCGGCAATGAACGGTCCCCCCCGGCAATGAACGGTCCCCCCCGGCAATGAACGGTCCCCCCCGGCAATGAACGGTCCCCCCCGGCAATGAACGGTCCCCCCCGGCAATGAACGGTCCCCCCCGGCAATGAACGGTCCCCCCCGGCAATGAACGGTCCCCCCCGGCAATGAACGGTCCCCCCCGGCAATGAACGGTCCCCCCCGGCAATGAACGGTCCCCCCCGGCAATGAACGGTCCCCCCCGGCAATGAACGGTCCCCCCCGGCAATGAACGGTCCCCCCCGGCAATGAACGGTCCCCCCCGGCAATGAACGGTCCCCCCCGGCAATGAACGGTCCCCCCCGGCAATGAACGGTCCCCCCCGGCAATGAACGGTCCCCCCCGGCAATGAACGGTCCCCCCCGGCAATGAACGGTCCCCCCCGGCAATGAACGGTCCCCCCCGGCAATGAACGGTCCCCCCCGGCAATGAACGGTCCCCCCCGGCAATGAACGGTCCCCCCCGGCAATGAACGGTCCCCCCCGGCAATGAACGGTCCCCCCCGGCAATGAACGGTCCCCCCCGGCAATGAACGGTCCCCCCCGGCAATGAACGGTCCCCCCCGGCAATGAACGGTCCCCCCCGGCAATGAACGGTCCCCCCCGGCAATGAACGGTCCCCCCCGGCAATGAACGGTCCCCCCCGGCAATGAACGGTCCCCCCCGGCAATGAACGGTCCCCCCCGGCAATGAACGGTCCCCCCCGGCAATGAACGGTCCCCCCCGGCAATGAACGGTCCCCCCCGGCAATGAACGGTCCCCCCCGGCAATGAACGGTCCCCCCCGGCAATGAACGGTCCCCCCCGGCAATGAACGGTCCCCCCCGGCAATGAACGGTCCCCCCCGGCAATGAACGGTCCCCCCCGGCAATGAACGGTCCCCCCCGGCAATGAACGGTCCCCCCCGGCAATGAACGGTCCCCCCCGGCAATGAACGGTCCCCCCTCGGCAATGAACGGGCCCCCCTCGGCAATGAACGGTCCCCGCTCGGCAATGAACGGTCCCCCCTCGGCAATGTGACTGGATTGTGGTCCATCTTTGCACCTTCCAGCCTGCAGAGCTGAGGACCTTCCACTGAGGCGCCATTATACAACGTCTGTAACATGGTACTCACTCTCGGAACATATGACTCCCGCTGCATGCCGCGTGCCGGTGTTCTTGCAGCTGACGGCACGGTGGTGAGAACATTGCTGTAGAGACATCTCACTTCCAGAGCAGCGTACCCCACTCAGGACCATCTCCGTCACATTGCTGGCGTCCCAGTACCAGGTTTCCTGGGCGGAGACATTGAAACATAACAGGACCAGCAGAACAAACACCCAGAACCTCCGGCGGTCATTGTGAGGACATCCTCCAAGTATTGTGCACCCTTACATGTCACCGAGAGGTATGACCCCACCACATGACACCCCCAAGGTACTAACCTGCACCCTCCTCTATATGTTCCTGTGACCCTCCATCCTTCCCTGAGGTCCTCTCAGTCACACATACATGACATGGTAAGACCCTCCACTGTACGTACCGTGATGGCATGCAGAGAGTACCCCAAGCCGAGCTGCCGACAAGCCACCATTGCCTCTTTAGTGGTCCAGCCATCGCTGCACAGGTAACCCCAAGATGTTCCACGCTTCAGTTCCACGCGCCCTTCGTACTGCGTGCGCCCCCCAACAATGCGTATCTGTGAGCAGCCAGAGTGCGGCAAGCAGTGACATGGAGACACCAGACAAAGCAACATTCAGGTCAATGACATGGCGGCACAATGTGGACAGACACGGTGAGGTGGCACCGACTCTGGACATCAGACATGTGAGGTGACAACACTGAAGGGACATTTCATGATTACAGGAAGCAGAGACAAGTGATCAACAAAGCGAGAGGCTTCCTCAGGGACCCTAGGAGGCCCCGTGAAACACAGCATGCAGCAAGCGTACCTAGAACTGAACCACGTACATAAAGCAGCCCATCCACCAATGCCACGAGACACACACACGAGACACACACACACGAGACACACACACGAGACACACACACAATACAAAACCACACACAC